TTGTCAAAAAGTTCCTCTTTAAGACTTAGTTTGTTTTTTATTTTGAATTGCTTCGTTTGAAGGACAAAGTTTAGGTCACTTTGAACTAGTTTGGCTAGTGCCCGGTCGGTCATCGTTCATCCCTCTTTTGGCTATACAAAGTATTTGTACTTTTTTAAGATATTATTTTCTACTTTGTAGTTTTCAAAATTGTACTTGATTAGTTTCTAATGATGCTATTTTCCTCGAGTTCTTAGACGGTAATCCGATTAATTACCCGGGGATCGATACATTCCATTTTGCTGCTTCTCTAATATGATTAACACATATGTATGTCATCAAAGGCAGTCATCAAAGTAGGAGTAGAATGCTAAGAGTGACACTCGCTGTCCTATTATTACGTTGTAATTAAAATGCTATTAACCAAATTGTGAAAAGTTTCCCTTCTGTTTCGTATACAAAGGTTGTTTTTTTTTGGGGGGGGGCAATCTAGGAAATGCACAAACAGAACTTACCCATTAGCGCACGAATAAATTGCAATTTTCTTTTTACACTTTTAACATTGCATTACGTACCTTCAAAGGCCCGTGCCAAATGACTGAACCTGCCGTCTGAGTTTAGTACCGACATGGGGCTTTTAACGTATACTATAGACTTGACAAAATAAACAGTTTTAGAATACAAAACAAAAATTAATAAATGTCAATCCTCTGCCGAACCGTCAACTCCATTAGTAAATTAATTTCGTTATACGGGAACGCAATATGGACATCAGAAAGTTTAACTTTCGTGTCATGTCTTTAATTGCCGCTTTTTGAGCTTTTCCAGCTAAAAGGTAATTTCAAAAATGATAGATTCTGATTAAAATTCGAATAGGACTGTTCATAAAGAGTGGAGTAAGTATAAATATTTATATTTTCATGTTATTATAAGACCAGTGTCTTTGAATTAGATTCCATGCTGATCCACGATATTGAGCGTGAAACGATTTTATATAATTATAAAAAACTAATCGGATAAAAGACAGAACATATTTATAACAGATTAATAGCTAGCTTTGCATTTGACATATTATAGATTATTATAGCCTGAGATTGGACCAATACTAGCCGGTGTTTCACAAGGTAGTATCCTTCGTCCAATCTTGATCACTAGTTACACTGCCGACTTGCCTAAAAATCCGACGTCATTATAGCCGACGCGGATGATAATGCATTTTTGCCTGACAGCGATCGTTTTCCAAGATACAAGAACATGTTAAGAATGATGAACAAAGCGAAAAACAAAAACACAGTGTATAGAAACAGACTTGTCTAGATCACATCAACAAAGACTCTGACATCATCTATAGTTAAATCCTTATGACGGTTAAATTGAATACATAATGCAGTAATAACATGACAGAAAACGTAGAACTAAGATGACGTGTAGGACTAAATAGCCAAGCTGCACTCAAACTGAGATAACATCATCGACAAACGTACACTGGGAGAACTACGTACAAAGAACCAATTGTCCCTTCTTTTAAGCCGTACAAGACCGAAGGTTAATGAAAAATATGACATACAATCAAGCAGAACTGATGAGCCACTATCAAGGTCTAGAAGCTAGAAAATTTGTTATAACTCATAGGTGGAAAAGCAAAATAGTCTCACCTGACGATCTGTATGTTGAACGAGGAAATCTGTTTGTTGAAACTTCAACCACTCTGGGAACAATTCCGCCAAGCCATACACAGTATCCTTTCTTCTAATCAAAAGACCTCAGAAGGATTGACAAAGCTTCTTACTACGTCCATAGCCGACTCCAAGTAACCTAACCTAACTACGTTAATAACCACACTGTACTATGACCTGAACATTCCTTTCGTCAACGAATTGAGCCGTTTTCACTAAAGTTCTATCCATATTGAAAAAACAGACTTACCCTCTCCTCCTATTGTATACCAAGAATATCAAAAAGGAATCTATCAAACCAACAACACATGTTATACATTTAGAGCTATAGTAAAACAGCAAATTGACGTGGAATTACCATAACTTCAAGGACCAAAATATTTAATGCGGAACTTATATTCTGCGATGTCATCCAATATTTGTACCGATCCTTCCGTTTGTGATGTATAACAACAATACATATCAACAAGAAGATCATCAACCCATCAATCAACTTAGATACTTAGAATATAGCAAGACAGCTCAACAACGTAAAATTTTCACTTGTCAATGTTAAGACTAAAATTAACAATACATATAGCAAAACATGTATAGCATTTGGTAATAATTTAGTAGTATAAGGCTACAAATTAATTAAATTAAAAAAGAATTAGTGGATAATTCTTTCCTTCTTTTATAAAAGATAGTTTCTACTCCCAGTTAGTTGTTTTCAACGTCCGGATTTCGAGTTGATAGCTCATCATCAGAATGAAGGAGTTCTACAACCACGTATCTCGTCATGGATTGCAAGACTGAACGGTACCCAATGTAACCCTGTTGTATTACATAGCTTCAACAAAGGGTGGTACTTGGATTGGTTTGAGAAAATTTTAAATTAAAAAATTTAAAATTGAACACGGAGATAAATGCATTAATAATATAATAGATTTTGATCTACCTCATATTTTAAATATATACATAAATAATATTAGACGGACAAAATAATCAAATTAATTTATTTTATTTATATTAATTTATTAATCTATTATTAAGGTATCATTATATTTTTTATCTTTTTTTAATTAATAAAAATTAATTAATACATAAATGAATAAATAAATTAATTAATTAAAAAATAAAAATAAAATAAATAAATATAATTTAAAAAATTTAATCACTAATTTATAATTAATTTCTTACAGTATTTATTAATGTAATATTTAATATGTTATAATTCCCGCTTTTCGCACGTTGATAATTGAGCGGCATCAAAAACCAGCTTCTTTCTCATTGGAACGTCGTGATGGTCGGGGTACCGGGCGGTCCAGTTTTGCAATCCATGTCGAGAGACGTGGTTGTAGAATTCCTTTAATCTGATGATGATGAGCTGTAAATTCGAAATCCGGCTCGTTGAAAACAACTTACTCTGATTAGGAACGATCTTTTTAAAAAGAGTGAACAACACACTTCACTCCACCATTTATCATTTCTGTAGATCTTTCTTGTTTGTTTATATGTGTCTTGGATTCCTATCATCATTTTAATATTGTCAAGTTTATTTCATAACATAAACCATTTTTAAAATATTCTGTATATTCGTATTTATGCTGTCTTGGCCGGTAATGTTTCTAAGGATGGGCAAAGCTGGCGAAACTTGCTTAAATAGGATTTTCCAACGTCAGAGAGTGAGTGAGAGGGAGGGAGAGAGAGAGAGAGAGCACAACTTTAACCCCCCTCTGAAACCTCAGAACTGAGAGAATGAGAGATTTGAACCCTTTCAACCCTCCTCGCTCTTCCCACAACCTACGCTATTCTCTTTTCCACAGAACACGTTAAAAAAAAGAAAATCAGGGTAACCCGCCTGAGAGGTACTTTGTTCATTAACATTAGGTTTCTAGGCTCTTTCTGACGCGAATTTAACTATTACATCAATCATTCTTACCTCGTTCAATTATATTGCAACCAATGCTTCTACCACCCTTTTCCCAGTGTTATTGTTAATAGCCTGTTTTTGACAATGTTTCAATGATGTCGTTTTAATTTCACTGATTCAAAAAACATTTCAACTAGAAATTAACCATAATTTGCCATAACGGCTTTTTTCTTATTTTTTATCGAGTGCTTTTAATTTTACCGAGCAAAATGTGAAAGGAGTGGTTCAATGCTTTCCTCGGGTTCTTGTTCTGGTCAAATATTGTAAATAATTGGCTGTTCGGTTTATAATTGGGTTTACTGTATTGGGCATATATTTTGAAGAACCATATGGGAAATAAGAGGCCGAGGAAAGACAACAGGTTCACAACTGAAATGACTAAATGCCTAATAGCGGTCAATTCAAGCGAAAATAGTCGGAAACGTCTGAATTGCAGAGACCAAGACGAAATCTCATAATTTAATATATTATTCTTTCTCCCTGTTAAAAAAAAAAATAGTCGGAAATAGTCCCGATAAGGATAGGCCATGCGAGGTTGACACTAGATACTTACTTTTGGGCCAAAGCCCGCATATGTGTCCGGTATGTGGAGAAAGGTTGCTCATTGTGTCACCTAATTGAAGGGTGTACTCCTTGGCTCTATGCAGAGACCGTGTAGAAATGCCTCTCGACGAAAGCAACTATCTGGATCCCCAGTTCCGATTTTGAAGAAACAGGGTTGGTTTAATGTATATAGTGCTGTAAATAACGTATTTTGAGAGGGAATGGATTTATTGTCGTGAATGTTTGGCGTAATAGAGCTGATGACAAAATATCAACCCTCAACCTAACAGAGTGAATGGTATGTAAATGAGAAAGAATGTACTTAAGAGAATGTATTTATGAGTGGGCGTGTGAATGAGTTTGGATTTAGGAACTGATTACATTAATGCTGTAATAACCTGGCTGCTGAGATCACCCAGAGCCGAACCTTGGTTGCTGGATGGATAAGACTGAGGTCTAGCCTCGGATTGCCAACACCCGAGGAGAGTGATTCTCGAGGCTTGCCAGTACTTTATTGTTAATTACAAAATCTGGAATTGCGGTGGACTGCGAGAAGTAATAGGCTCAACTCTGTACATCCATGATTTGAGCTTATATAATCAGTAATCAGTAATCTTTCTATCTGGCTTAAAGTTTGCTTACAGACCTTCTAATGAAGTTTCCTTCCGGATTTCGTGTGTTTTGTATTAATTCTTCTCTATGCTTGGTCTCTGAGGTTAAAACCATTTTCAAGCTGTAATAGCAGAACAGTAAACACCTGCACGGTCGATATTACCAAACTTTTAAAATACAAATTTGTTTAGATGCTTGCCATTTAACAAATTTACAAAAATTATTTGATATTTATGATTCGGTAATTAATTGAATTTATTGTGTGTTTTTCTTTTCAGACAATATGCAGTCGCTATGCAAGAGCCACTTCTTGCAACAGGTGTACAGAAAGATAGACGGGGCCGTCCTTAAATCTCGGAACGAAAGAAATTTGGACTGCGTGATCACATTTCAAACCGAATCCATCCTCCAGCGTTTTATGCTCAGGTTCGACCAGCTCAGTCTAGACTGCAACGACCACCTTTTTATTTTCGATGGTGCACACGCGGTCGGATCTTATAAGGTAAGAAACGGTTTCGTATCGTACAAGTTTCTATTGGAACTGAAGGAATGACACTAATTTCCGAAATTGAATTAATCCATTAGCGACTTCCAGAAATTTGGACTTGTTCAAATTAATTATTTAGAATTGGGCAACGCCGCGCTACTGATAATTAGGAATGATGATAAGGGTGATAGAAATGAAATTACCTAATGAGTTTTAATAACGACAAGAAGTTTGTTCTTAATGATAGTAATTAAATCACGGTTAATTTGAATCTGAAATACTGACATTTATTGTTTCACAAGCTAATATTGTCGCATAAATTTGTAGTATTTCTTAGTTTTGTGGCGGTTCGGGGTATAAAACAATAGCAGCAGCACTTCTTTTTTCAATAGACAAAATCGACTAAGTCTACAAAATATATATCTATGTATACAAATATATAAAATAAATTGGAACGAGGGCCATTCAGCGATATTAATCGTAATTGGCTATTATGGCCTAAAGTCAAGGATTGATCAACGACGTACCGACTATGGTCGCGCAGCCTCCTTCGAAGGTTGTAAGGAGTTGTTATGCTGGATTGGTTGCGGATTAATGGTTTGAAAAGAAATAATAGTTTAGAGTTTGGTCATCAGTGTGGTAGATGTTCCTGACGAAGATTGAAGCATCGATTATTGTTCCCTTCAGTATCCTCCGAGAGTTAGAAGGAAGTGTTCTGCTGGACAGGTTGCGGATGGATAGATTTGAATGAAAGAATAGATTTACAGTGGTATCTAGTCTAACGGTACTGGGATGTATGGTTTTGTTTGGATCAGTGTGGTAGATTGTATGATTGCTGAAGAACATCGACTTTTGATCGTTTCATTGTCCTATAAGAATTAAAATTAAGTGCTGTCGGGCAGGTGGTACACTAATGGATTGGAGTGAAAGAATGTTGGTTATTCACAATAAGCAAAGACTATTGTGAATTTTTTTTCTGCGAGAATTAAATGGATATATTGTGCAAGAAAGCTATAAGATTAATGGATTGTAATGGAATGATAGTTTAAGGTGAAATCTAGAATAGAGAAACTGGGCTGATGGTATGATTGAATCATATTCGATGATTTGGTTAGTGGCAAGGATCATCGACTATGGTGCGCTTTAGACCCCTCCGAGAGTTAGAAAAAAAATTATTATCGGGCTTATCAACCTCTACTGTGCGTAGGGTATGTTTTGTAAAGTTTGAATGTTTGGTTGTTCCGTTACTGTTCCAGTCAGTAAGTTTATATTGAGGTGATGAGAGCAGTGTAAGATTTATTATACACAATTGTTTTAGTCAGGTAAGTGGGATCCAATACTTTTGATCGGGTGTAGAGAAATATATTGCGCTGTTAACTTCAGGTATGGAGTAAAAACATGGGATTTTTGTCGGTTTACATTGAAGCTTTTTGCCTGAACCTGGGTTCCAGGTTACATCTTTTCTAGCCTTAAATGGTATGTGAAAGTTAATGTTTTGGAATGCAGAGGAAGAGTAAATTGCGGGTTCTTTTCTTCTGTCCAAAAGTAGTTCGAGATTCGCTGAAGGTTTGAGAAAAATAGACAGGTGGGAAAGTTTCGTAGTTAAAAGTAAAAACAGTATATTCAGTATATTGGGGTGGTAGTTTTTTACCTTAATTTTCCATTACTGGAGAATTTGGATATGAAAAACTTTTTGAAGAGCGGCAGGAGCGGGTTTAATAGCTTGTTCAAAATAGTTGCGGTATCGTCAGGAAGGTTAATGTTTTGGGATGAGTAGAAGATAATCTGAGTAAATTACGCAGAGTAAAGGAGTAAGCATGCTTCCCTGGGGAACGCCAGCTTAAATGGGATGAATAAAAGAAGAAGATCTGCCTAGGATGCTTGGAAGCATCGGATTATGAGATTCTGAGAGGCGTGTGAAAGTAAAGATGCTTTTGAGCTTCCATAGTAAACACTCGTTCCATGGCCGGTCGATAGCCTAGCAGCAATAAGCGGAAATTAAAAAAAAATCTCTTGTAGAAATTGTACCAGCCCTTATTGCTTACAATACGACTGTGTAGCCGGGACCCACAATCATTACATAATTGATTGCATATCAAACCATGTACACCGAAGCTGGTAGGCCTAGCCAGGGGGGATTTTCCATAATGAAAGTGTGCATATCTGAGGTCGGCTTTATTCAAGGGGTCGATTTGGACGTTGACCAACTGGGTAGGAGTTACTTTCGTGCTAAGTGCTCGAGTTATACTGTTGAACTGTTTAACGCAACACTATTAATTTTAAAACAATTCAAAAATGTACACATTTATTGTTTTTAGGCTGATCTCAGCTGCAGAAACACGAAGACTGCCGTCGGGTCTCTTTTTACGAGGACGAACTTCGTCACCCTCAAGTACGTGACTGATGGTTGGGGGACGGATTTGAACGGGTTCAACCTCGTGATCACTGCCGTAAAAGATTATAGTAAGTATTGAAAAACTATGCCTTAAAACAAGAATTTGAAAGTAATTTAGTTTGTTAAGGTTAAAAAATGAAAACTGGTTCGATTGAAGTCCTTCTCGAGTCCATTAATTTACAAATACAAATAATTTACAAGATAATACTACCATCCAACCGAGTCCGCATCATTGGGCTTTACTTAGCAGAATTTCGTGTAGCCCATATACAACTAAAACAAGAACTTAACTATGGATTACTTGGATACCTACTACTTGGACCAAAATCAACACGAACATACAACAAAGTAACCGCTTACAAAACACTCATCAGACCTATTGAACTTACAGAGTCCAACTGTGGGGCTATGCCAAATCCTCCAACATCCAACGAATTCTACCTTTCAATCTAACGTTCTCCGCCGTATCCTCAATGTTCTACGTCACTGATCAAACGATCCATAAACACCTTAAAATCCAATTCGTGAAGGGTCTGATTCGAACACGCTTCCTCTATATCCACACTAAACCATCTCTCCACCCTAGCCCTCTTTCCTCAATACCACCCTTACAATCCTCCACGCTGTTTAAAACTAAGACGGCCTTGTGACTTTTAATTAACCTATCCAATTAAATAAAGAGAGTTGGCTGGTTTCAACTACATTAAAAATAATAGTTGAAATAGTTCTCTATTTCTAGTTCAGAAATTAAGAGTAAACTCGGTATGAATGTCATTGAGCAATTATTTTTTATTGGCTAAGAATATTTTGAAGTACTGTGCACCTTATCTATCACTAATTTCAGTTATATTTTATTCAAAATGTAAATAAATATATTTGTATATAATACTTTTAATATAAGCAGAAAAGCAATTTTGCTGACACCGGACCATTATTTCAATTAAGATTAAAGGCATCTCAGTGTTTGCCCGGATTATCCCTTGGTTTCCGCCAGAGACCACTAAGCCAACATAGAGGATCTCTCAGCCTTCAATAATTAGCCACTTAATTAGTGGTTGGCAGGGTTTTAAAGCTTCTCACCACTTCAGGCAGTCCTACCACGACTTCTTACATCAGGTCATTCATGAAACTATTTAATCCGAATACCTAGATCATCGATATAGGTTATCAATTTATTGAATGTTTGGTATTTTTGATTGATTTAAAGGTCATATTAGTTAGGTTCAAATGTTTCATAAAAGATTAGAAAATCATGTGTACATGAAAAGAAGAAGAAACGTGTTAATGGTGTCGAATTATTTGCATAAGATTTTACATCAATTTTGTTGGATCCAACCTATTTTTCTGTTTTGACAATGAGCGAGACGTTAGAATCGTCATTTTAGTAGAAAAAACTTGAATCTATCCCGTTTATCGTTGTTTCTGCACTGTATAATTTTTGTGATTGAGATGTTAAACGTTAATATTACTAAGTACAACACGAGGCTCCAATCTATGAATTAATAGATCGTCGGACACGGGTGAGAATTGAGAAGATCCGTTGTATAGTAAAGTATGCCAATGATCTGTAAGTGTGGATAGGGAGTTATTCGGAAAATTACACCCTCCATCAATTCTACCCTTGCGGAATGTATCTTCCGGCCACAACCTGTCATCATTCTGGCTACTCTAATTTTCAATTCCAATATAAAAGCGAAGTTTGTAATTTTTTCTTAGTACATACGATGGTTTTTAACTCTCAGGATCTACTAAAAACAGTAGTATTTATAAATACATAAACATTTTTTAATAAGAAGACATCTTTTCTATTAACCAAATGTAGAGACCACAAGTATGAACATCTCGTCTCAAAATGTCAATGAATAGGTGAATATTTAGAAGAAGAAAAATAGTAAAATTTAAATTCTAACAATTGTGACATGCCGTTGTACAAATAACCATCTCTACTCGAAAATAAAGCGTCGTTCAACACATTTGCAGCATTGGAAGATTGATTAAATTATATATACCACAACAGAAGACTATAAGGGGTAAAAACATGGCATAAAAGAAAAGCTAAAATACCGACAAAATAAACAGAAAAGAGTAACATACTTGAAAAAGAAACAAGATATTAGAAAAGACCTAAATCTCAAAAAGGAAAGTAAAGGCTAGCCAACTCAAACAAACAAGGAATAAGTAGTTTGGTCGTTCCGATCATCCGGGTCTGTCTGTCCTTGCTGTTTTAGTGGGCCAGGTGCAAATCGGTATCCATTTCACATTTCAAGAAACCCTTTTGAACATAAATAACACGGAAATAAACACACCTTTGACCTGGCGAAAGGCCGAAAAAAGGTCCATCACATTATAGATTTGTAGAAGAAATCACTCACAAAAAAAGAGTCTATAAGCATATTATGGGACAATGGTAGACACTGAAGGCAATAAATTGTTTAATGGGGAAAATAATTTCTAGATTCTATCCAACAAATCGATAAATAATCAACGGAAGACATAAACTTTATAATTAAACTAACCTAAAAGAAGTTGTTTAAGATTCGCAAAAAAAAAGAGTCAAAAGCAATTAATATCAATATTTTTTAAACCAAATAAGTCTGAAATTTGACTCATCAAAAACAATCAAATTAACAACTAAACAGGATTAATTCTTGTCCTGAAGCCATTCTTGTATTTAATTTATTTCTGTACAATTATTACGTATCATTGGAAACCTCTACCAATGAACACCTAGCTGACGAATATTCAACAGAGCACCATAATTCTCCAAAGACACTTCAGCACAACTGAAACTTCCTTCTGAAAAAATCTATCATCGGCTACCTGATTGAACATCTCGTCTCAAAATGTCAATGAATAGGTGAATATTTAGAAGAAGAAAAATAGTAAAATTTAAATTCAAATTGTGGCATGCCGTTGTACAAATAACCATCTCTACTCGAAAATAAAGCGTCGTTTAATCAGTAGATTCAAAGTTTCATCTGAAATAAACTCAGTTTAAAGAACCCTCTGATATGCAATGAGAAGGATGAAACTACCTTTCATCCATCTTGGCATGCGAATCAATCACTCAACGGAGGCATGTCATTGCAGTATTGGCAGTCAATGATCTACTATTCGTAATTAGAAGAATCGAGTCGAATAAACCGAATTAACGAACTATGAAAAGTACAATAAGCCAAAAGGTTGCAGTGCTTGGATCAACCCTCTCATCGTCATCAACATCCATCTGAAAGACGACGAAAACATCTTCTTCACTTTGACTCTAATATCTGTAGTACATGCAGCTACCAGATCGAAACAAGATATATTATAATAATATTAAATACTTTCAGAACCTGTCGCCATGGAATCTCAAAATAGTCATAACCCTTCAACAATATAAGTATAACTGGTTGGCCAGGATATAAACAGGGTGAGGCAAGCCAACAAACCTACCACTAAATATAACAATGAGTAGCTTGGTCGCTTTCGATCATTTTTTACCTTGACTTAGTCTGTCACTTTAGTGGTACTTACTATCCCGGCTCACACTGCTCCTGATCAATTAATGATGTCGAAAAGCCAAGACGCGCTAAACCAAAACTGCGCGGTTACAGGCAAAATGATCGGAAGCGACCAAACTACAGGTTCATCATCCGCAAGTCTCAACGAGAAATCTCACATTAACCTTAAGTGATCCTTCAATACCACAACTATAAAAGAGGTTTTGTCAGGATTATAAATAGGGTGAGGCAAGGCGATGAACTGAATTTTACAATTAGTAGCTTCGTCGTTTTCGTTGCCCGGTCTGGCATTTTGCGCCATAACCAGAGGTGGGTTTCATCTTGATACACATTGCATATATCTCTGATCAACCACTGATGATGGCGAATAGCCAGGAGCTCAATTCATCCTGGAGTCATTGTTTTATTTATAATTAATTTATTCTCATTTAAAGTTTTCCTCCTTCTGAATCTATCTACACACAGATAGCCAATGACGCAATACTCAAGAGATAATAACTATTCAGAAATCGTGAGGTGCGGTTGGTGTGATGTAGGTTTCAGAAAAACATTTTCTTTATCGTGCCAACGTTTCGTTTCGATCGAGAGGGCATTCTCAACACGACACGCAAGAATGACATAATTATACAGAGTCAAACACTTTGAGCCCTGAAGATGATCTCAATAAAGATCGAAACGTTGGCACGATAAAGAAAATGTTTTTCTGAAACCTACATCACACCAGACCGCGCCTCACGATTTCTGAATAGTTATCGATCAACGGTCAGTAACCAACACTCATTTCTTCAAGAGATAATCCTCATTTTCATTAATCAACAAGGCATCCAACATCTCCTAGGTTCCTTATGCGGTGCATCCTAATCAATATATTCTTTACTATTAGACTGAAAATTATACAGAACACCTCAGAATAACATAAAAGCTCATTTATGATTAGTGGTTAGGCGCCCTGACCCTAAAATGACATCGAGCCTAGGAAAATTTAGTACCTATCTAAAGTTCGACCACACGTAACACAGCTGATATAAATCCCAGCTGCACAAATCATTGCCTGCCACGTTAAATACCAAGTGTCTCCTGTATCTTTCATAAATCAGCCCTATTTGTCCCATCGTACTTGAGTCCTAAAACTACCACACACGTACACAAGATTCAGTTAACTCAGAATCACGTTCTCCACGGTAGATGAGTCGAATTTGTGGAACAGCGCCTTAAACGACCCAGAAGTTGCTGTTCTGATCTTTTTTTAATGCTAAAATGCCCTCAATTATAGGATGATTAGCCTTCCTACCACATCATTGTAATTTAGCCTGCCAACCAACTTCTGCCTAACAGTGTTAGTTGAAAAATTTTACAGCAAACTACACTTTCATGCAATCTCAAGGATAGGTTGTGAACTTCACCTTCATTTTTGTACTGAAGAGTGAATTAGATTCATATTTCCATTAATAGACTTTTACCAGAATGCCTCAAAGTACCCAATGAAGATAGTGAAATGATGAAACATATCTGTCTGAAACATTCAATGAGAAGACACGAACAAAGTTGTTCAGCACTGATCTGGG